AAGTTCTAAATCGTGTGTGAACCCAATTGAAAGATGTACCAGAAATCTCTGCTACAGTTGTTTCTGAATTTAAAAGTAATCCAAGAAGTAATAATCTAGTTTTTCAAAAGTAGGTGTGTGTGTGTGAGCTCTCAATGTTACTCAGGACTCAGTGATGAGTGAAGAGAAAGACTTCTGGTGTCTGACTCCCCATGACATCCCCAGAGTGTTCCCCTGCTGTTCCATACACACTCAGCAGGCCACCAAGTGTGTATAGTGTGTGTGTGTGTGACTGTGTGTGTGTTTGTGTGTGTGCCCTCTCTGGGTTTGGACAGAGGCTCTTTGTTTGTGGTGCCAAGTCTCAGCTCAGGCGAGGAGGCTGGTACTGGCAGAGCCCTGCTGCTCTCTCTCCTTTATTTCATTCTTTTGTTTTTTACTTTATCTACTAAACTTTCAGTATTTCTCTCTTGCTCTCTTTCTGTTTACTTCCCTTCTTGATTTTTTTTCCACCTTTCGCTTCTTCCGTTCTCTCTTTCAAACTTTCTTTAGTTATTTCCCTCCCTTTGTGATGATGGATGTGATCCTGTGGTAGAGAAACGTGAGAGACGCTGAGCTTGGTCACATGACAGCTTCACTAGGAGACAGGGACACCCACCAGAGACCAGTAGACATTCTTTCTCTCTTTCTCCTTTTTTCTCTCTTACCACCTTTCTCTATTCGTTTTCTCCACCCCTATTTCTCTGTCTCCATCTCTTTCTTCCGTCTCACTCTCTTTCTCTCACACCTGGGTCTCTCTCTCAATTCCTCTCATGTTTTCCCTAATGCATGTCTCTCCACATCCTTTAATTTCCCCTCCTCTCCCTCACTCGCTTCTAATCAAGACAGTAAACTGTGGCTGGATTGGCCAGATGTGTATCCCTGTGGGATTAGGAATGGAGAGATTGTGAATGGCCGACGGGTTGATTGCTCAGACCTCTAGGCCCGGATATGAATCCCCCCTGGTTTAGGTCCTTCACACTGGTACAAATGCATAGTGGTCTAACCTTGTGTAATCCACAATAATCCCACATAATCAAAGAGGCTGTTTAGGGTGCATGTGTGTGTATGTGTGTGTGTGTGTGTATGTGTGTGTGTGTGTGCGCGTTTGTGTGTGTAAGCCTCAGAGCAATAAGGTTTTATTACACTGTGATGAGCTCTTAACCGCTCTTCCTCTTTCCTTCCTTCTACAATTGTCTTTCTTCCCCTGCTCTCTCTGTCCTGAATCCCTCCATCCTCATCTACACCCCCCGTTCCTCTTTCTCCCCATCTCTCTGTGTCCAGGTCTGGGTAGAGGACAAAGCCATGTCAAAGTAAGATGGAGAAGAGCAGGACTATCCAGGGCCCACTGTTCTCATCCACAGTGATGTGTGTGTGAAGTTATGTGCAGTTGTGTGTTTCCCCTCTCTCTCCCCCTTTCTCTCTAGTCAGTGAGTGTTGGAATTCCACAGGTGTTGAGGGATCATTGCAGAGTTACCTCTCAAAACAGAAACTATTCACGGTTGGAGTCTTAAACATATGAAAACAGGCCCCTGTGCTAATGCTAATGTCTCAGAATCATAAACATCAGCTTTGAATGTCAGTTTTCCAAGAACTTTCCTCTTTTGCAGTTATCTGGGTAGCAACAAATGAAACGGTGAGAGCGGATGTGGCTCAAGCATTTCAAATACAGGTGCCAGTTCAATTTTGTGTTTGTTTGTCCACAATGCAGGGAGGGGTCACCTCTAAGAAGCGTACACACTGATCATGTTTGCTCTAAATATGGAACAGGTCTCTCTTTGACACACACAGTTTCTCTCTGTCTTTCTCCCCTCCCTTGTCTCTGTAGTCAGTCGCACCTAGGGGCTGGTATGAGATGAGGTGAGCAATGCCATAAATACCTTTGTTTGGGAGCTTTGTTTCCGACCCGGAGGACAAGGGACGGTGCACATCACTGTTCACCCATGCTGGCTGTGTTTGTCAAAGTTAGTCGAACTTTGGGTAAGCTAACTTTTGTTTGTTGGTCTGTGAATGTTTTACCGCTTGCTAAAGTATACGACAGCCATGTAAAACGATGATTTGTGTTTCAGTGACGTGTTCGCCGCTGTTTTGAGACAGGATCAACGTTGTCTGCGAGACGCAGCATTGACACCGTTTTGTTGGTTGCGTAGGCCTGGAGAGAGTTAGCGATATGTGAATTCTGCCATAGTTGCCATTATACCTTGGCTAGTAGAAAGGGTTGGAAGCAGATTTTCAACTAACCAGGGCCTTGTTGCCCAGAGCCTTTGTAGAGTTAAGATCATCGTTAGAACCTTCTTACGATGTATCTTTAGTCGCCGAGGTGTTTCCGATAGCCTTCATTAGTAAAGTGGCTCTTAAAAACCTTTGCACATCTACGAGTGATCCAGACCACACGTAGAGCAGCCAAAGTGCTTCGTTAGATGCTTTTTTGCCGTTCCGCGTCACTTTATTCATAGAAGATCTCCGCTAAACATAGCCTAAACATCTTGATTCTATCTATCTGACTGTGACTGCTGATAACTTCAGAACGAAGTTGACTACAAATACAAAGTGTCCAAAGTATTTGCAATAGTTACAAACAAGTGAAGGATAAATTAATGCTTCAAATGAAAACTGAGATGACTGCATTAAAAGATACATAGGCTACATGGGCCTATATAGGCTATTTCAATCATATTGAAATCTATTTTATGGTCAATCAATTGAGTTCTATTTTGCGACTAGGCTACTGTCTGAAATTTTTGCCTCAATGTGTTTCCTGATGTGTGAAAACGTGCACAATGATGGGCCCAACCTGTGATTTAGTGCATTATTATTGGGTAAGCATAGTAAGCCATCTCATTAGCCTGTTTGTAGCCATAGGTGCTAATCTCTCTCTAGGAGCTGATCCGTCATCAGTATTGTGGAATAATTATAATGTTAAGGTAATATTTGAATGGAGAAAGCTGACCCGAGAGCAGCGCTGCCTGTCTTTCGATCCTATCAGTATCGACACATTGTCTAACGACGCACTTAGCGAACGTTCTCTCTACGTGCTTGTTTGAGGAAACACTTAAAAAGTTAAATAGTGTAAATAATGATGCATCTGGTACGATCATCGTAACGCTTAAGTTACATCGCAACTGGGAAACGAGGACCTGTTCTTGCCGATACTTTCTTCGTTCTCGCTTCAGGAAGAAGAGTGTATCTTATAAATGTCTGTGTTCAGTTGAAGGTGGTTCTCCAAAAACCAGAGAATATTCAGAAAGATAGGAAAAATCCACGTTTTGTATTGAGAGAGAAATGCCTCATGCATGTGTTTAAATCTTTGTTTTGGTCGCACTGTGTGATGCGGTGTCATCAACTTTTACACGTGGCCATGGACGCGTCGCATAGAAATGACTAGTTCCTGCAAAGATGTTGGGAAATGCTAGATGTCTGGCAGCTAAAATGGCGAGGGAACTCCTCACTCGGTGGAAAACGTGCAAAACTTGGATTTGATCAACTTTTTAAAATATTCTCTGGTTTTGGGAGAACCACCTGCAACTGAACAGACATTTATAAGATACGCTTTTCTTCCGAATCGAGAATGAAGAAAGTATTAGCAAAACGTTACTTAATGTTAGTTTGTGTCCCTTACATTAGGTAGGTAGGATTTCATTTTTTTGTTGAGAAGCTGGTATTCAGGCAAAATATTTGGGGTTGCTTTGGCAGTCGGACTAGTTCAACTGTCTTTGTTATATGTTTTTTTTGTATATTTGTCTTATTTTGTCACCACTTCCCCAGAACCCTCCAGGGCTGGTTGTCTTTTGGGGGGCTATTTTGGTTAGAGAGCAGTGGCAACTCTTATGAATTCATGTGTGTGCTTTAGCATGAAAATTATCACAAGTGTGTTATCTTTCAAAGAGTGTTTCATCTTGAGTATGCTATCTTACAAAGAATGTTTCATCACGTGTGCTATCTTACAAAGTTTTTTTTTTCTCACAAGTGTATTATCTTAAAACGATTGTGAATATACTTTATCTACATTTGCATGATATTCTCCTTGAAGCGTTTTACATGCAAGGATTGAGCCTTGAAAACTTGGTAGTATTTCTTGCCCTGCTGCTAATCCATTGTGTGTGCCCTCTATGTTAATAAACCTTGGCACTTTGGTTAACTATTGTTCATCTCAATCATTTGACAACCCTGTACTTAACTTGTCCCGAGGACCTCCCCTCGTGTATAAAAAAGGTGGCGCAGTACAGTTGACATATCTCTAAAATACGCACACACACACTCTTTCACAAACTCTCTCTCTTTTTCCATCTATTCATCTATCATGTAATTATTTCTTTCTCTATATTTCCATCCACAAGGTATAACGGCTACTATGGAATAATTATCATATTGCCGATTTAATGTATAGCTAGGAGAGAGTATGGCTTACCAACTTTAAAGGTATGCACTTTTAACTTTGTAAAATGAATAGAGTCTATCTGATAATGTTGTGTTTTTAATAAAGCATAAAAGTTTTGATGTTGCTATTGTTTTAATTAACTGGTGTTATACATCTAGTATGAAAAAAAAAATGTATGCACTAACTGTAAATCGCTCTGGATTAGAGCGTCTGCTAAATGATTAAAATGTAAATGTGAAATCTACACCCCCCCCCACCTCTCTTACCGCCCGCCTCTACCCACAGACTGACAACCACAAACAGCCAGACGTTTACTAAATAGACACCCACGGCCCTCCACCCTGCCTCCAGAAGGACAACCGCTCCCTGTGTGTCAAGGGTATGCACAGTTCCCCACAGCCTCCATCTTAACCTGTGGATTTACATGTGACACCAAAGGTCAAGGAATTAATGTGCTGTGACGTTGTCCAGTTGGAAGGCGGATAAGATGGCCTCTGGGTCAAAGTCAGTATTGTTTGTTATAATTGCAACAACCAACACGCCACCGCACAAAGGCTCATGGCCTTGGTTTCTATACTGGCAACTTATGTTTCATGTGTGAGAATGAATGTACAAACACAGTTCTCTATGCGCACTTCAACAGCTTTTCGTGATATTATTTAGCTTCAAAGGTGCAGGATTTCTTTCAATCAACCAACAAGTGAGAAAGTAAGTACAGCAGAGAGAAAGAAAATTATCTTTATTCGTTCATTGTTCTTGTTCTTTTCCATTCCACTACACACTGTTATTACTGTCAACTTCTTTTCCATTCCACTACACAATGTTATTACTGTCAAGTTCAGACAGATTCTTTCTTTCAGGGGCCTTGTCGTCAAAATGACCAAGCTGTATAGGTGAAGGTTGAATAAATAAATAAATTACATTTCACAGATCCCCCTCCTTCTCCCCAACCCCTCCCATCCTCAGCCCCCTCTCCACTCACCTGCCTCATTCCTCCTGTGTACCTCCCCTTGGGCAGGTAAACCAGTCGGGTATATAAATATATTCAAACCTGAGTTAGCTATCCAGGGAGCTCTGGGGTGCCTCGAGACGTCGAGAAAGCGAGAGAGAGACGTAGACGTGTAACAGGTGGAGTTTCTCAGGATAAGGAGCAAGTATATTCTCTTTACAAACCACTGGGATTGAGAGTCCTAGGACAGCAGTGCAAGTATGGGGCTTGGAGTAAGTCTGGATTACACTTTTGAGTATCAGGATTTGGATTTACTTATATTGTGTTCTTTCAACTTTAAAAAATATGTTGTTTTTTTGCAGTTCATATTAAACGTTTAGCCCTCGGTTCATGGCTGCTTCTTAGTTTGTTTTATAAAGTTCTACATGTTATGAAGTTCTAAATGTACTCCTTATCTAAACCCTGATTAGGAAAGAGGCACATTGATAGTTTACACTTTCTCATCATTAACGTACCTTTTGACATACAGAAGGGGAAAGATGATTATAAGCTGGCGGCGACCTCAGAGGACAATGGAAATAAAAAGAGTAAAAAGGAGGTGAAGAAAGCAAAGGAGAAGAAGGACATGGACGATCTGAAAAAGGAAGTTGACCTGGTGAGGAAAACTGGTTATGTATTAATTGACTAATTCAATTAATCGAATTTAGTAGACATGAACAATGCACATTAATCCATATGCAATTTTCACATCAAAGCACTTGAGTTGGCTGCAAAAATTATTTTAATCCGTAGTCCCAGAGATTATTAAAATAGTATGATATAGCATAAAAAATGTCATTATTTTCTGCAAGAAAATACTTAAGTAAACAGGAAGCCTATTAGTCTCTGTGGACCAGAAAATATGCAGCATACAACCTTTCAAATGTGCATCAAGCTCTTTTGTTTCTAGATTTGTATTTGGGTACTCATCTGCATTTGAATTTCCTTGCTATTACTCTGCAGTGAGTCTTGGAGGCCGTTTTAAAACCCCAATAGCCTGTGTTTAAACTTTAGAGGAACAGTAGCCTATCTTTGGAAACAACTTGTTTTTAAACATGCAGGAGAATAAAAACGTACGTGTGCACTGTGCAGTACTCTTTCAGGGAAGGAATGTGAACCAAACAATTCCATCCGTCATACAGAAACGCATGACTTATCTATGGTTTATATTAAAATTCGATGCAGCATGACCTTATCATGCCTAGGATCATTTCAAATTGTTTGAGGAATGTGTTTCATAACTATGAATGTTCTGCATATACTTTCGCCATGGGGAAAAGTTGAGAGAACTCCCTAGTTCAACAAGCAACTTTCTTTCTTTCTTTCTTTCTCTCTCTCTCTCTCTCTCTCTCTCTCTCTCTCTCTCTCTGATTTAGGATGACCACAAGTTGACCTTGGATGAACTTCACAGGAAATACGGCACAGACTTAGCCAGGGTGAGTGAGTGTATATGTGTGTGTGTGCATGTGTGCCTTTTAAACTGACAACCAGTTGGATCTGTTGCTCCTAAGGATTATTGCTGACTGTAATTTGAAGAGTATTGAGGTCATGGAGGTTACGGCACGAGGTCATATCGTAGGTAGAACTATCTACCACTGAATCTTTGCATATGAAACATATCTATATCTTCCTAAAGTTTACACAGAGTTTGGAGTCAAATATATATTTTCCGATAGTGTGACTCCCTTCACATTATTATTATTATTATTATTATTATTATTATTATTATTTAATCCTTTATTTAACCAGAGGTCACATTGAGATTTATGTCTCTTTTACAAGTGAGCCCTGGCCAGGAAAGTGGCATACATAGTAAATACAACATAAAACACAACATAAAAACACAAGTTAAAACGGTGCATAGTGCATATGGATGAGACTTTTTCCATATGTGTGACAACAAGTCAGATACACATGAACCATTTTAAACAAGCCATTGGATAGGCCTAATGCAGGGCACACAATTGGTGCAATATCTTCAGCTTTGTGTGGTGTACAATTAGGACAGGCCTAAACATTATTTTGTGTGGAAAGGATAACAGTTAAACACTATTTTGGTGATGGAGCATAGATAATGATCTGTTGATATTTGATCCAGGGATTAAGCAGAATTTCCACTACAAGGGCCACATTCACACGGGAACATTGAAAGCACTATGTAGTGATGAGGGGCGAGGTGGTGTGTGTGTGTGTGGGGGAGGGGGGGGTTAGCTTGACAGATTTTCTTGCTGACACAAGGGGAGGGGGAAGTTTTGAGTTCCATAGGTAATCACTCTACTACCTCTTACTCTACCTCTTGCTCGTCCCTCTTCCCTCCCTCCTCCTTTCCCTTCACTCTACCTTTTCCCTCTCTCCTTTTCTCTCATCCCTCCCCCACCCAGGGTCTAACCTCAGCTCGGGCTAAGGAGATCCTTCTTCGCGATGGCCCCAACACCCTGACCCCTCCTCCCACTACCCCTGAGTGGGTGAAGTTCTGCAGGCAGCTCTTTGGCGGGTTCTCCATGCTGCTATGGATCGGAGCTATGCTCTGCTTCCTGGCCTACGGAATCCAGGCCGCCTCCGAGGATGAGCCGGCCAATGATAATGTGAGAATCATAGAATTCTGAGATAATTTTAGACTTAACAAAAACTACGATGCCTCCAGTGCCTGAAAGGGTTTTCTCACTTAACCGTAACGTAATAGTCTCATAGTCTTTCTGCCTCTTCGTTTCTGTCCCTCACAGTTGTACCTGGGTGTTGTACTCTCTGTTGTCGTGATTGTCACTGGCTGTTTCTCCTACTACCAAGAGGCCAAGAGCTCAAAGATCATGGACTCCTTCAAGAACCTGGTCCCACAGGTTAGACTTCTGCCTTTTCAAACACCTCTGAGAAGAACTTGATTATATTGTCATGTCTACGGATTGTAATCCTGTCACCTGCCTTGTAGCAAGCCCTGGTTGTCCGTGACGGTGAGAAGAAGAACATCAACGCTGAAGAAGTGGTAGTTGGAGATCTGGTGGAGGTGAAAGGTGGAGACAGGATCCCAGCTGATTTGCGTATCGTCTCTGCCAGCGGCTGCAAGGTGGGTACTTTACAATCCAAGATCATGTGTCACACACGTAGCCTTCCAAAAACTTCGGTCCGAACTCAGTTAGGCGAACCGAACGAGTGTGCTCGCATACTCCCTTAAAATACCTAAAAGACCAATAGTACTGTTTGTCCATTTTGAGACACCGTAGGCAGTATACACTTTCTCAAAATAGTCAGAATTAATGTAAGATAATTCAAGAAATCTGTCTGAAATGTTGTAGTTTTTGCTAAGGAGATCTTAGTCGCACAATCTAACTAAGCTGTTTTGTGCAGTATTTCTCAAGTGAAAAAATTTGCATGAAAACGAGTCGTCTATCGTTGAACAACAACAAACACTTCATTGAGGAATTCCTACTGTTGACCAATGACCGACGAAGGGGCGTAGACTTCGGCTCCCGAACTTCGGCTGGCCTCGAGAAAAATGTTGTGTGCACGAACAGCCCCCAAAAAACTTGCTGAAGACCAAAACGAATAAAAATGCCTCAAAATGTCGTCATAATATATGACAAGCTGTTCTGAACTGTTTCGGATGGGAAGCATGCGGACACCTTTAGTGTCATTCAATGTTGTATTGATGCAATTCTCTTTTCCCACTCAGGTGGACAACTCCTCCCTCACTGGTGAATCTGAGCCCCAGACACGTACTCCGGATTTCTCCAATGACAACCCCCTGGAGACGAGGAACATTGCCTTCTTCTCTACCAACTGTGTTGAAGGTAAATAACTTCTGTAACTAGCCGTAGTGATTGAATAGTTCAAATAACTTTAAATGTATCGCTAAGACATTTTGTTATTCTAAACCATATTCTCCATGTTTTGTCAGGAACTGCCAGAGGTATCGTCATCAACACTGGTGACCACACTGTAATGGGTCGTATCGCCACCTTGGCCACGAGTCTGGAGGGTGGGAAGACGCCTATAGCCAAAGAGATTGAGCACTTTATCCACATCATCACCGGTGTGGCCGTCTTCCTGGGCGTGTCTTTCTTTGTCCTCTCCCTCATTCTGGGATATGGTTGGCTGGAAGCTGTCATCTTCCTCATTGGAATCATCGTCGCTAATGTGCCAGAGGGTCTCCTGGCTACTGTAACTGTGAGTACCGATGAAGAGTCATGTTTAACAAAAACTTTAGTCCTAACAACAAAACTTATTTTGTCTCATTGTTGATTTTTTAACTGTCTGCTATGGCTTTCTATCGTAGGTGTGTCTAACTCTGACTGCCAAGCGTATGGCCAAGAAGAACTGCCTGGTGAAGAATCTCGAAGCTGTTGAGACCCTGGGCTCCACCTCCACCATCTGTTCCGACAAGACTGGAACCCTGACTCAGAACAGAATGACCGTGGCTCACATGTGGTTCGACAACCAGATCCATGAGGCTGACACCACAGAGAACCAGAGCGGTACCTGCTTCGACAAAAGCTCTGCCACCTGGGCTGCCCTGGCTAGAGTCGCTGGCCTGTGCAACCGCGCCGTCTTCTTGGCAGAACAGAACAACGTACCAATCCTCAAGAGAGATGTGGCTGGTGATGCTTCAGAGTCTGCCCTGCTGAAGTGTATCGAGCTGTGTTGCGGATCTGTCAAAGACATGAGAGAAAAGTACAGCAAGATCGCTGAGATTCCCTTCAACTCGACCAACAAATACCAGGTAACCACATGCGCTCTTTGTAGTATCTGTGGGTTAACAAAGGGTTAAACTGAGTTGTAGAAGGTGGTGTGACTTAAAATCAGGATGGATGGCTTTTCTCAATCAGCTTGGAAATGCCACTTTGTATCGACATCCAATAAGTTGCCAGAACTTTAGTTTACCAGGCACTGTAGGCTACTCACTGGTCATTGCCTGCTAATTTAAATTTAAACTCTCTTCATGGTGTCATCTGATCAAAAACCAATTCATTTCGCCCCTAGCTCTCCATTCATAAGAACATCCTGGCCGGAGAGTCCAAGCACCTGCTGGTGATGAAGGGCGCCCCTGAGAGGATCCTGGACCGCTGCTCCACCATTTTGATCCAGGGCAAAGAACAGCCTCTGGATGACGAGATGAAGGAAGCCTTCCAGAACGCCTACGAAGAGCTGGGAGGGCTGGGAGAGAGAGTGCTCGGTAACAGGGCACACGCCAATATGGGATAATATGCATTCAAAGGTTTTGGACTGAATGAACAGACTAGAACAGTGGTATTTAAACTTTTTCAGCGGGGACCCCATTTTTTCCACCAGAATTTATTGTGACCCCACCCCAAATCTAATGACATAACCTTAAAGTGGCAATCTCGAGTTGCTACATCCATTTTTTGACTTGTAAATTATTGATAAGTACCCATTGAATAAATGCCTCATGAGCTTAGTTTAACTGTCGTAAACCATCATAACCCAAAATAACCCAATGTTTGTAAACAAAGTAAATGTAAACAAACACTATATAGCGTCAAAATCATTTTGATATCATGGATGGTCAATCCTTGCATCTATAGCTCTGTCTATGAGGGGTATCATTTCTCCAGCCCCATCCCTCAGCTTTTTACCGAACCAGGGGTGTGGAGACCGCTTTGTTATTGTTTCATCTGCTGATTGCCGCTTTAAAATTGGTAAATGTCTATTTTTACATCAACAACTAACCTTCAATTCATTACATTTTCAAAATGAAAAGAAATCAATAAAAATATTTACTCCATAAATAAACAATATATTAAAATGATCTTTCTCAAAACCATTTGTATACTGTCCCATACAATAATCTGTACTCTTTATTTATTTGCGACCGCAATGCAGTTCGACCCTGACTGGTCTAGAACATGCAGGATTGGTTCTAGCGTGTCACTGACTCTGTGTCCTTTTCAGGTTTCTGCCATTTCCAGCTCCCTGATGACCAGTTTGCCGTAGGCTTTGACTTTGACTGCGAAGAGGTGAACTTCCCCACTGAGAATCTGTGCTTCGTTGGCCTAATGTCCATGATTGACCCCCCCCGTGCTGCTGTGCCTGACGCTGTGGGAAAGTGCAGGAGTGCTGGAATCAAGGTATGGCATTATCACACTAAACACAACTCTTCAGTCAATCCACATAGCAGCCACTGTGATCAGACCACTCCTCTTCCCTTCCTTCCATTAGGTTATCATGGTCACTGGTGATCATCCCATCACTGCTAAGGCCATTGCCAAGGGTGTGGGCATCATCTCTGAAGGAAACGAGACTGTTGAGGACATTTCTGCTCGTCTGAAAATTCCAGTTTCTGAGGTCAATCCAAGGTATGTTGCAGTTTGTTTGGGATCATTTCAGTGTATGTCATCATACTATCTACACTTAAAGAGGAGTGACAGAAACATTTATTTAGCCTTTTGGGGGCATCATCAGAACATACCAATACAAGCCCCTATATTTAGCTTGTATTTTTTATTTTCCATCTTTGTACCCTCTAGAGATGCCAAGGCCTGTGTTGTCCACGGTGGAGAGCTGAAGGACCTTTCCGGCGAACAGTTGGACGACATTTTGGCTAATCACACTGAGATTGTGTTTGCCAGAACTTCTCCTCAGCAGAAGCTGATCATTGTGGAGGGTTGCCAGCGTCAGGTACTATTTTATTTAATTAATGCATGCTCATGAGTCAGTCAGGATGATTGCATCTTACTTTTGGAATTTCTAACATCTGTAAACACCTCTCTTACTTATCCACAGGGTGCTATTGTGGCTGTGACAGGAGATGGTGTGAACGATTCTCCGGCTCTGAAGAAGGCTGACATTGGTGTTGCTATGGGTATCTCTGGATCTGACGTCTCCAAGCAGGCTGCAGACATGATCCTCCTGGATGACAACTTTGCCTCCATTGTGACTGGTGTTGAAGAGGGTAAGAGAAGCTCTGGCGATGACCATCAATCTGCTGGGTTTTTCCATCCTTCTCTCATCACCCTGACTATCCCGTCCCCCCATCCTCTATTTCCCCTCAGGCCGTCTGATCTTTGACAACTTGAAGAAGTCCATAGCCTACACACTGACCAGTAATATTCCAGAAATCTCACCCTTCCTCCTCTTCATCCTCGCCAACATTCCACTGCCCCTAGGAACTGTCACCATCCTCTGTATTGACCTGGGAACTGATATGGTGGGTCTTTCAGATGTGGATACTCCTCCTTTGTGAACAATCTGATCTTGTGTTCTGGTGCATTATGAAGAACAATGCATTTTTTTAGAGGTTGTTTGGAAGGTCTTTGAACTAAAATCAAAGTTACCAACAAAATGTTTCTAATTTGGATGATCTTTCCCATCATTACCTTCAAGGTCCCAGCTATCTCCCTGGCCTATGAAGAAGCTGAGAACGACATCATGAAGAGACAGCCCAGAAACCCCAAAACTGACAAACTGGTGAACGAGAGGCTCATTAGCATAGCCTACGGTCAAATCGGTAAGGCGTTAATTTGGCCCTGCTTCTGTTTTGCCTACCTTTACTGGGTCTTGTTGCGTTGTATGTTGACCAGTCAGTTTCATAGCACATTAACAATCTGATCAATGTCTCTTCATTGACAAAAATACTCTCCTCATTTTTACTCTCCACAGGTATGATGCAGGCCACAGCCGGTTTCTTCACATACTTTGTGATCCTGGCTGAGAACGGGTTCTTGCCCATGGATCTGCTGGGTATACGTGTGGACTGGGACAACAAGTTAATGAACGACTTGGAGGACAGCTACGGCCAGCAGTGGGTCAGTACACAAACACCGCTCTGCTTTTTGCTGTACTAACGGATTAGCATTGGCCTTTTTTTGATGTCATAAATTCTCGATGAGAGCTTTTTCAATCTCTCTCCCAATTTTTTTGTTTAGTTTATTCCAGTATACATGGCAGCTAAAAGCTGAATTGCTTATATATAAGGAAATTCAAGATAACAAAATAAATCAGTAAATGTGATACAGTATCAAGAAAGTTGAGAAGTCATGGATGGGATCACGGATCAGGGTTGTTGCACAGCTTGCATTTCAGATAGTCAGCAGAGGAAATATCGATGGTCTTGAGAAAGACAGAGCATCTCAGTCACTGCTAGGGATTCAGACAGACAGGTCCGTAGCCTCAGCAGTGCACCTCACAGTCCCTAACGTCTTCTCCGTGCTTTGGTCTTCATAGATAGCTTGCTACTAGTCCTCCAGAACTACCATTTGTGCAGCACCCTCTTGTGGATGCCACTACTGCCGCTGGCGCACAGGCTCACCGCATATTTGGTAACAGAGTAGTCAGCAATCGTCACTACTGTAATGTAACAATGTAATAATTATGTCCTCTCTCTCTTGTTTTTATCCATATGTCTCTCTACACACTCTCTCTTTCTATGGTCTACAATCCATCCTTCAGACATATGAGCGCAGAAAGATTGTGGAGTTCACCTGCCACACAGCATTCTTTGCCAGTATCGTAATTGTACAGTGGGCCGATTTGATCATCTGTAAGACCAGGAGGAACTCTATCCTTCAGCAGGGAATGAAGTGAGTACACACATCTATCTTTGTGGTCTTGGTCTAGGTCTGGGTCCTAAGAGGTTTTTTCTTAGGATTGATCTTCACTACTCTGCTCTTGACTTGACCTCTGCTCACATCACCAGAATCAGAATCAGCTTTATTCGTCAAGTACATTTACACATACTCAGCATTGTACTTAGTGATATGGTGCTGTTAGCAATAGACAGCATTAGAGACAGAATACAGACAGAGCAATTTCACAAAATTGATAAAGTGTGCATAAAACTGAAGAGTAAGAGTGAATTTACAGAGAGGATATACAAATGTACAGTATAAGTATATTGTAGAGAACCAGGACTCAAACCCGGGTCCAGCGACTGTCAAGCCAGCAATTTAACCACTATTATTATTTTGTTTTTCCTCCCACCTCAGGAACCGTATTCTCATCTTCGGACTGTTTGAGGAAACCGCCCTGGCTGTCTTCCTGTCCTACTGCCCTGGAATGGATGTCGCCCTCAGAATGTACCCACTCAAGTGAGTAGACCCATCAGATTCTCTTCTGTATATCAGCTTGGAACAAAGGTCACCACTGTTTTAAAAGATGAGTGGTAAAATGGATGTATATTACAATGGGCGGAGACTACTGTGGCCTCAGGATCAGTTGGGGTTCACTAGTTAGCTGAAGTGTAATGGGGTTTACTGCCCAACCAAGAGAGGAAACACCATTTGACATTTAGGGGCCCTGTAGGCGCATTACCGCCCTGTTTTACGCTCAATTTAATATCTTTATTCTTTCCCTTCTCTCTTTCCTTCTCTCTTTCCTTCTCTCTTTCCCTTCTCTCTTTCCCTTCTCTCTTTCCCTTCTCTCTTTCCCTTCTCTCTTTTCCTTCTCTCTTTTCCTTCTCTCTTTCCCTTCTCTCTTTCCCTTCTCTCTTTCCTTCTCTCTTTCCTTCTCTCCTTCCTTCTCTCCTTCCTTCTCTCTTCTCTCTTTCCTCAGGCCTTGCTGGTGGTTCTGTGCCTTACCCTACTCTCTGCTCATCTTCCTCTATGATGAGGGTAGGAGATACCTCTTGCGACGAAACCCAGGAGGTAAGTGCTCAGAGACTATGGACGAAAACAAGCTGTTAAGATAACGTCAACAATTTTACATCAAAGTTAATTATTGTGTAATAACATGACAATGGCATGTAGGATTGGGAATGCCGAATTATTTAATTTGTCTCATGGAGATTTTCAGTGGCGAGATGAAATCTAACAAATGTTGTTCTTCTCTCTGAATGTTCTCTTCTTTAAGGTTGGGTGGAACAGGAGACCTACTACTGACACAAAGAGGCTATCCCCAGGATCACTCAATGTCACTCTGCTGCTGCATCTCAACCAACAACATTACACTACATTTCAATCTGCTACATTACCATTTCATTCAATGAACACTGCGATGATGCACTGAGCTACATTGAGGAGTTCTTGATTGTGATAATGCAATTTGGAATAAACATCACTTCAGCACTAATGCTTAAGACTGTATTCATTTTTTGTTGTCTGAATTATTTGGTTATGTGTTGGATTTAATGTAAGACATGTAAGCTTAGATTGTGTTTCATCTATGGGAGAAATAACCTATTATAGTTGCATCTTATTTGTTTAAAGTAACTGGCTAGTGTTTGTATAGTTCTATGAAATATGACTTATCATTAATTACGATATGAGTGAAATAGTTTTTCCTTCCAAGAAATTGTATTTAAGTATATTAAAAGGCAGCTTTTCTGTGTTTGAATAGTGTGGGCGTACTCCAACAAAAGAAAATATTAAACAGCTGATTTGTTACAGGAGGGGGTCGCAGTTCCGGAGCGACCCACTAGGTGTCATCCTCCGACAACCTTAGGCACCTCATCACTCACAGTCGGGACTAATCATCATCCTATTGTTGTCACCTGTGTCTATCGGTTCACCTGTGTATTTATGCCCTCACTTCCCTGTGTTCCCTTGCTCAGTTTTCTCTGCTAGATTCTCTATGTCCAGCGGTACTGCTCAGTGTCTGATCGGAGATCTATGTACAGGTACTTGAGAAGTGTTCTCCCTGTTTCGTTATTTGTTTCAGTCTTAGGTAGTATTTCATATTTTGGCTGTCAGACGGTTTTTGGAGACTTATTTGCTCCGCCTTTCTTTTATCGTGATAAGTCCGTTATTTTGTTTTTTGGCTTCGGGACCACCAGTAAAGATCCTTGATTCACCATCTCTGCCTACTGCCTACTGTATATCCTGCACCGCACCTAGGTCACACCTCACCCCAAACCTTACAGAAAACGGAACCAATTTGGACCCAGCGGAGGCAGCACAGTATCAGAGTGCATTGGCAACACAGAGAGCTTTGCTGAACCAACACGACCGCAGCCTGCAGCAGACCACCGAGAATCTCAGCCAGCTTACATCCGCCGTGCAGAGCCTGGTGGACACACAACCAGCCCCAGCAGCCGGTGGAGCGGAAGCCGCGGCAGCGGCGTCTTCAGGCTCGCCTGCGACATTGCGGGAACCCCGACTACCATCTCCGGAGAGGTATGACGGACGTCCAGAGGGCTGCAGGGAATTCCTCACCCAGTGTTCCCTGGTATTCAGCCTACAACCCTCCTCCTTCCCGATGGAGCAGGGCCAGGTAGCCTACATCATCACTCTGTTGACGGGTCGGGCCCTTTCCTGGGCTACCGCGGAGTGGGAGAGCCAAACTCTGGCGTGCGCCGACTCCTACCAATTCACCCGGGAGCTACGCAAGGTGTTCGACACCTTTCGAGTGGTGTCGGGGCACTAGGCTGGGAGGTGGCTCATGGCCTATCGGCAGGGTGACCGTTCGGTGGCGGACTACTACGTGGAGTTACGGACCCGGGCTCGAGAGGCAGGATGTGAGGAGGCCGCCCTGGTCGTCCTTTACGCCCAGGGGCTATCGGAGGGGATGAAGGACAAACTCTTCTTCAGGGAGCTGCCTGAGCGACTGGATGACCTCGTCGAACTCTCTGTGCGGGTAGACAATCTGCATTGTGAGAGGGCGCATGAGAGAGGGATGATGCAAGGCGCGCCTTCGCGATCCCCTATCAACCTGGAGGCTTTCCGCCGATTCAGGGAGGAGACACCTCAGGAGGAGGCTATGCAGCTGGGGGCTGCGCGCTTGTCCAGGATGGAGAGGCAGAGGTGTCTGCGCCAGGGCCGTTGCCTGTACTGCGGCTAGGCAGGTCACCACTGCGACTCATGCCCGGAGAAGCCGGGAAACGGGAGGGCTCGCTAGTATCGGGAGGGGTGCTAGCGAGCCGGAACCAAAACCCCAACTCCAGAGACTCCTGGACTTTTCTCCCCATCAGGGTTCAGTGGGCCCACGCTGCGCGTCGGGCGGCGCTTAACGGGCCTCGGTCAGGTCTCAACATCAGGCCAACCGCAGGCATCGCCCGGCCCCGGTCTTTCGCCCGGGACAGTATTTCATATTTTGACTTATTTTCTCCGCCTTTCTTTTATCTTGATAAGTCCGTTATTTTGTATTTTGGCTTCGGGACCACCAGCAAAGATCCTTGTTTCACCATCTCTGCCTACTGCCTACTGTATATCCTGCACCGCACCTGGGTCACACCTCACCCCAACCCTTACACTGATTGGCCAGCTCAGCCAATATGCCAACGTGATGTCATGGTATGTGAGGAAATAGCAAGCATATTTTAAACCGTCTGTTTGAGGTGGGGGGTAGTTGTGTGTTTTTCTTCTCTAATTTATGCTTTGGCCACAGATATGAGTGAGTATACAACGAGTCAACAAGGTTATTTGGGTGTGAGTTAATAGAATATTAACTTTTAAAAGTTAGATTTTAACTTCACAGTTACTTTTAAGGTCCAACACAGACGTTTTTATCTCAATATCAAATTATTTTTGGGTAACAATTAAGTACCTTACTGTGATAGTTTTCAATGAACATGGTCAAAAAGAAACTAATAGCTTCTAAGCAAAGAGCAATTTCTCAACCAAGAATTTTGCTAGGACTGTCTGGGAGTCGTCTGAGTGGGGAAAACTGAAAACTAGCTGTTATTTACTTTCTTATTGGTCTATTAACTAATTTACCACCTGGTAATGTCACCAGGCAGGCCAAAACTCTATCCCACCAAAACAGGCTGAAATTTCAGGCAGTCTTTTCAAACAGCTCTTACACTAAAATGGCATTATCATTATTTCATAAATTCACAGTTTTATTCCAACTTCATAGTGTGGAAAAATATATAAAAGATAGGACAATCGAGTGTTTGACTGCACTGGGCCTTTAAACCCTTGAGAATTTGGTATTGCACATGTTATTCTCTGTTGAAATTCTGAACACTGTTACCCTCATTGAACTGTAGGATTCCAAAACACCTAAAATAACATTCTAAAACTCCCTCCATATGGTTATAGATAGAAAACACAAGGCCTGTGCCACAGATTCAGTGGTCCTCTGTAGCTCAATTGGTAGAGCATGGCGCTTGTAATGCCAGGGTAGTGGGTTCGATCCCCGGGACCACCCATACGTAAAAATGTATGCACACATGACTGTAAGTCGCTTTGGATAAAAGCGTCTGCTAAATGGCTTATTATTATTGCTTTGTTTTGATGCTGACAACAGCAAGGTTGAGGGTATGTTAAGTAAATATAGGTTGTTTTCGGTAATGGTATCTGTTAGCTGACCATTTTTACATATGATTACTAGGCCAGACAAACAATGAGAGGGTGGAAATATGAAAACATTGCAAACAAACATGTGAAATCCATTCAAGTCAAGCCAAATACGGCTTCAAAATCATACGAGTCATACGGAACACATGCACACAATGGTGTAAAGGTATTGGTATGCTAAAGCTATTAATCAAGGATTCCATCTGGCCGTATTTGATTACCCTCTCTCCTCTGTTTGAGCCCCTATCCTCAATTATCTTAAGGGCCTGTCTGACTGAATAGTATTCACTATTGACCACACTAACACAACCTTGGGCTTTAGTGATAATAAACTGGGCCCGCTCTCTTGTGCTATCTCTACATTGTTTACTTTCCTGTAAAGTACACCCAGTCACTGGCAACTATTTTACACTGTCTTGGACAATGGGGGTCAGAGAGTGGGGGTTTGGGGGGGCTAGAACTAAGAGAGGGTGAGATGATGGTCACCACTAAGTCTACAAAGACCAGAGAATCAGTGGTCTCAGTTGAGGCCTTGAATGATACAGGAGGGATGGACAGTACAAATGGATACAAAGGAAAAGGAGAGAGGTCCATTGTTGGACGAGGAAAGCTCCAAACTGGATACAGGCTTTATTATCCAGTTCTGAATGAGACATGGGTTCATGGAAAGTGTAGTGCTTTATTACAGGCTTTATTACAACTTTCCAACCTCATATTCATTATCTCCAGCACCATACCAGTGTCTACATACTGTATGTGAAAACGGCACGTTTCTATGATCTGCGGTTAAAAATATAAGAAGAAAGGTTCTAAGGAAATGCTCTGTGACATCACAGGGTAGGATTAAAAGCAGGGGTTGGAACCAAAATTACTTTCCAATCGTTTGGTTCTGAAAAGAGAAAAATGTTTCCTGTTCTGTTACACTGTTTCCGACCAGCAAAATAAAGTTCTGAACCAGTTCAAAGCAAAAATAAGTAACGGTTTACATTGTTCCTTTCTGTTCCTTTCTAAACGTCGGAAATAGATTTTTAAAAACATTTAGCTCAACATTAAATGACTTCACCAATCAGTGTGGATAGAGCAGCTTGCTATGGAGCAGGCAAGCTATAGTTATTTACATGCATTGGACAGACAAGTGTAGGGCGCGAGATGCGACTGAAATTTTGCGGGTGGAGAGAGAGAAATCGAGGGTGGAGGAGGAGGCTTGGCTTGAAGCGCTGGGCATCTTGTTTTGACATGCATTATCTGAATCAGGACCACATATTATACCTACGGAGGAGCGGCTTCTATGAAGGAACTTTTAATGTCTTTGAACTTCCGAGAGTTGGCTTAACGTTGGACCAGAGCTAGCTAGCTAGCTAGCCAACTGTCACGATCGTCTGGGAGAGAAGTAGACCAATGCGCAGCGTGTTGAACGAACATACTTTAATTAGTTAAAGTGTAACCATAATACAAAACAAGAAACGACTCGTGAAGTCCACGGTGACAATGACCGAACACGGAACAAAAACCCACAAACACCAAGGGAAAACAGACAGTATAAATATGGCTCCCAATCAGAGACAACCAGCCAACAGCTGACACTCGTTGCCTCTGATTGGGAGTCACTCAGGCAAACATAGAATACACAACCTAGAACACCCAACATAGAAACAGAACACATAGAATGAACACACCCTGGCTCAACATATAGAGTCCCAGAGCCAGGGTGTGACAGTACCCCCCCCTAAAGGCGCGGACTGCGACCGCGCCTCAACAAGAGCAAAACAGGGGAGGGCTGGGTGGGCACACCTCCTCGGCGGCGGCTCCGGCCCCGGCCTTGCCCACCACCCT